CATGTGTACAGTGGGTCTCAAAAGTCATCATACCCCAAAGAATTCGATACTTAGAGCAAGTGAATTTTGTCATGAAATTTCAGAAAATACTGAAGGCATAGTGTGCCAAGACAGTTTTTCGAGGAGAATTCAATGGATTCCTTCATAGATGTTTAACGTTTGATTCCACGTAACAATAGGATAAAAACAGCATTTAGCAGTAGTCAGAATCCTTTAACGCTGCTTCAAAGTATACAAACTTCAAGCTTAAATATGCGTTAAATAGGTTATACGCCTGACTGCTAATCAATGTGGTCGGTGTTATTATGTGACAAATTATTTGTTACGCATTGTCAAATGGAGTCAAAATCCATAATGCATATTTTTTTCAATTCTCGAAAATACATTATGCATAAAACCCCTAAATATTTACTACTCCTTTTTATATGTTCATTTGACGAAATTTGACCTATCACGGCGACCTCTGTGCCAAATCGCGAATTTCGATTGGCTGCCGAAAGCTGGCGTCCTACTATAATTTTAATGAAGCGATTCGTTCATAAATGACAGAATAACAACCACTGAAAGTAGTCGCACCCACCATGATCTGTTCAGCAGAAGTTTCCGCCAATTAAATGGATGTAGCGCGCCATATTCAGCGTTTGATTGGTAGATATCCACCAATTACATCGATGCACTAGGGCGAAACACCTGGTTATGCTTTGATTGGCTGAATATATTTGTTACGTGGCTCTCATTGGCCAAACCAAATGTACATTATATCAAAACTCACCCATATGTGATATATGTACGCTATAAAGAGACACGGAGTGGTATGTTTTATGTATTATTTTATTTCGACCCCTGCTGTGCCCGATATCATTGGCCGTGTGCCGGATGAAAATGGAAATCACACACTAAAAAGTCAATTCAATATCGAAATGGTCGTCAAACGACACATGCAGCATCGTTGCTGTGACATTACATCCCAACGTCCTCCACACCTCCGAGGGAAAGCCTTCGTCACAACCAAATTGTTCATCACACAGAAGATTTGGGCTATTCCACAGAAACCTACCTCACAATGTATACAAATGTATCCGTTTATACAGGACTGTTGACGTGGGAAGAAGCCCAGGAGTTACATTTCGTACTATTGTGCTTTTCGCCCAATTTGCCCATTGTTTTATCGCACTAATCAATGGATGACAAAATTAAAACCACACGTTAAACAACACAAATCGAGAGTCTGGCACATGAGCTAAATAAAGACAGGTCGTTATTTACTGGACGATCTCACTCGCAAAAGTGGTCGAGACCAACATGCAGTGAGATCGATTGAACTTCGCGTTCCCATCGTGTTGAATCTTGTTTCGCTACGTCGTGAAAGTCCAAGTATGAGGCGAACGACGTCAACTTCAATGCCATAAACTTGGACAAGCACAACACACCTCCAACGCATGATGATGCTTGATCATTGTAAAACAAGTTGAATAAGATAAAACCGTGCACCTCCACCAATTATTAGCCAATCAGAGCATCACGAATAGTTATAACTCAACGCGAACCGTAAAAATACGTCATTTTGCATCCGTAAAATCACGGCGAGTGCCGTAATTTTAGGATGAGTTTTTATTAAAGCATGGTTTTAGACCTGGATTAGCCAAAAAAGGTAAAAAGCACAATACGTACTAACGTAAGTAGAATTCTATTCACAGACAGAATACATTCATCAAGAAATTCCCAATATAATCAGATTAAAAGGCTCCATCGTGAAACTTTTTAGGAAATATCACGTAGCAAAATCACTATCATCAAAATAATATTGCTCCTCAGCGCAGAATATAATTCTCTCACCGGACTTGATTAATGTATGGTCAAATGGGTAACACTATCCATACAGTGCGCTCCACTTGGATAGGACACCCCCGTATTTTGATGGTATGCTTGGATAACTTGTACGTAAAATATACCAAACCATTCGCCGTGATTGGCCTGATCGTTTGGCGCTAGTTTTAGGTCAAAATAATCGATATTGAATGAGTTATGCCGCGAAAACTGAATACGGATTGCGACAACTGGATAGGACACTTCAGGAAAACTTCTACAAAATCATTCATTAAAGCACAAAATGTCATCCTCAATACTTTGTTTTGCCTCCTTTGGCTTGGATAACATGCAGGCACCGCTTTGGCATTGATTTTATCAACTTCAGCAGGTAATCTTGTGAAATTTTCGCACCCAGTAGTACTGGAACCTATCGGGGTCGTCCAGATTGAAAGTTTTTTCAACTGACCAAACCACATCCTCCCACACGGATGTGTTCGTCAAGTTGGTCTCGGCATAGCTTAGGCGGTCATTTTTGTGTCGTTGTTGGAGCTTTGGGATGTGCTGGAGCTTGGTATATTGGAGGAACTGTGCTCGGTGGAGGATCCGTTGATACGTTCTCAGCGACGCGTCCATCGGTAGGTGCAATTGAAGCTGACGAGCTGAGCATCCAGTGATGGACGCGTGTTTGTTGATTTGTCGTCTGGCACGATCAGTGACTTTACTTGACTGTTGACCCTTGTATTTCTTGCCGTAGTTGTCAGGCGACTGCAAAAATGATGCAAATACGTTGCGAGAGCGTCCGAGAGTCGCAGCGGTTCTCTTGACGGACCATCCAGCTTGCTGGAACGCTAACGAGCTGCCTTGCTCATGCTCAGTGAGTTGAGAAGCTCTGCCCATACCTACTGCACGACGGACGTTGTGTGTAGCTTAGCTTAACGTAGTAAGTGTCAACTAGTTGATTGTCCACTACCGGAAGGTGCAAGAGGTCAGTGAAACTTCCAAACGTGACGATTTTCCTGAAGTGTCCTATCCGGTATAACTCATTCTACGGAATTCGCAGGCCAGAACTTGACTTTTGTATGCAATCGTAGGCGCACACCCCTACGATTTCGCCATTTCGAAATCCTCCACCTCGTTATTTTTCCAAGTTATGTACGAATTTGTAGCAAACATAAAATTTCGCAGTTCATTTGTGAATTGATGAAATCGTAGGGAGCTGGTCCTACGATTTTCATATCCAATGAGATCTCACGAAAATCACAAATTGCCAATCCTCCTCTATCGTACACGTCACATGCCAAAAGGGATTGTGAGGCGTCCTAATGGTAATGCCAGTGATAGCACTAGGTATGCCACGTTAGCGGTGCGCAACTTGTGCTGCGTTGTATTAGTATGTAGTAGGAAGGAGCGATCGTTATGGAAGAGTTATAGTGATATGTTGATAGTCGAGCTGGACGCGTTTGCGAATATCAAGACCTTATGGAAATTCTTACTAGTATGTGGGCCATAAGCACACAAGAGAAGTAAGTATATCTCTGTTATGAAGCAAGTGTTGAACTATTTACGGGTCAAGTTGTTGACAGTGGCCTATCTACATTTCTCCAATTCAAGTGCACACAAGTGCATAAATTCTACTTCAGGAGTGTCGTTAATATCACGTGGTTGGATGTTTACCTTTGAGGACCTTGACGTACTAGTATGTAGTATGTATGGCATTACATTACTCCATGCAGAGGCACGTTGGAGTCGTCCGACGGTAGCTGATGCCTTTCAAGCGGGCAAGGTTGTGGTGACGGAATGGATGCTTACTACAGTCAACGTTGATGTCGAAACTACTACCGTAGTGCATGACTATGATATTCCATCGACGCATAATTGCACTCGTATCATGCAGCCTGCATTGCCAAGGACTACCCTCAATAGTGTTTCGGGATGAGCACGGATTTGTGATTGAATTATCCAATCACTGTACACGAGTGTTTTCATTGGTTAAATATGAAATCGTAGGCAATCTCCCTACAAATTCCATAAATAAATCATTCAATATCGATTATTTTGACCTAAAACTAGCGCCAAATGATCAGGCCAATCACGGCGAATGGTTTGGTATATTTCGTGTCAGTTTACGTACAAGTTATCCAGGCATACCATCAAAATACGGGGGTGTCCTATCCAAGTGGCGCGCACTGTACACTGTATACAGAGGTAACGTAAACTCTATGATATAGTTATCACGTATGAGAACTCATCGCCTGGATTTTGCTCGAATAAGGCCGACATCCCTGCCGTAACCATGGTGGCAGTCCTCGTCCTGTATATCGACAATGCTGATGTAAGAAGTTTGGGCCAATTGGCCCGACCCCTTGCTTGTTCACAAGAGACAGTTCAGCTATACAAGATCATCAGTCTGATTTAGGACAAATTTAAATAAATCCTCGTAATAAAAATGATTTTGTGGCAAAACGTGGAGGTAATTTGGGACGGAGTGCGTACTGTAAGTAGTACTACGTAGTAACCTCTCCCTTCCAAGTAGACAGTGGACTATTCCTTATATTTTCTTCTAGAGTAGTACTATTAATAGTAGTTCAGTTCTTGATCGCTGAACGTTCATGTCCATGCTTTCTTGGCATTCTGAACTTCTGATTGGCAAAAACTCGATAATTCCGGATATCATTTCAGTTTAAGCTTTCCGGTAAGGTGTTTCATGCAATTTCCGCCCAGCTTGTCGTACTTTTGAAGTCTCGTAACTCATTGCCCGTGTGTGTGATGAGGCTGCAAAAACATGCATTCTCAAGGTCATGAGGAGCTTTATTAGTTTATGCGGGACCCATCGTTGTATCGTTTGTCCATTTTGCTCGACGAATTTTTCAATTCTGTAAATGTAAATTCCGCCCGGGTGTTCGGCTTGAATAATGTATGACAGATTTGACCACCGAAATTCTCAGAACCTCTTAATATTAATATATTTTAAAAATCAGATTTTATTATTCTTTTTTTTTATATACTGTATGTGTCAAACACAACATATATAAAAAGAATTATAACATCTGATTTCTTTTTTAATTTTTTAAATTCATGTACAGAATACATATTTTTGTATCTACATACTTTTATATATGTTGACTTGGTCAAAACATGTTGTGTTTGACATGTATATTTATTTATGTATCTGGTCTCAAGAAAGAAATAGTGGACGACTTTGGTTATGTGAAAGGACTCTATAGAGTTAACCTTCACTATATTCGATAATTATACTATTATTTCACATGATCTATTATATTGTATGTATAGCTTTGGCATCGTGTTTCGCGCAAAAGTATATGGTCGAGATGTGGCCATGAAGCAATTGTTACCGTCCAAAGCCAAAGATCTCGATGCGACGGCGGTAGGTACCCAATACATATATATATTTCCTCTTTTCCCCCGAATCGACACTATTATTATTAGGAATTCATGCGGGAAATCCACCTCTGTGCGCGCCTCAACCACCAGAACATCGTCCCGTTTGTGGGCATCGCGTGGTCTACCCTCGTCGACTTGGCCGTTTTGTCCGACTTGATGCCCCGAGGTGACGTTCATGAACTGCTTCAAACCGAACGCCGTTTCGAACGCGTTCAGAACAGACGATTTCACTGGCGGCGCGCGGCCAGCCCCAACGAAGCCGCGGACGAGATGACCACGAAAACCAGCGTCGCCCTCGACGTTGGCCGCGCCGTGAGCTATTTACACGATCTGTCCATCATTCACCGCGATTTAAAAGCCAAAAATGTGCTGCTGAGTGCATCGTTTGAAGCGAAATTGAGTGATTTTGGCATCTCCAGAGTGTCCAAACTGGATGAAACCATGACGGCGAATGTTGGCACGATCGCTTGGATTGCCCCAGAGGTACTACTTCTACTGTGAATGAATACGACAATGGATTGGAAACCTGTGGCTGTTTCGAACGTGTTTCGAACGTGTTTTTTTTTCGATAGGTGTTGACCGGGGACCGGTACACGACCAAGGCCGATCGATATATACAGCTTTGGCGCGTTTCTTTCGGAAATGGACACGTTGGGAACGCCGTATGCGACGGAAACGTCGACGAATTGCGAAGGCTTTTCCAACATTTTATAAATTGTACAAGGTATTCAATTTAGAAGTCATTGTAATTATGAGATTACATGAGTTGTCAAAGAAATCAAATATTAAATGCTATGGGTATTATTTACCTGAGTACCATATTTTATCCAATCATTTTCGTTCGATGATTGTGATTGGCTGCCAACTGGGCGGAAATTACATGGTGAGAGGAAATTACATGAATCACCTTATCATGAGGCGGGCACGCATTTTCACAAAAACTGAAAAAGTATTGTTCGATATTTTTTGAAATTCAGAGAGTAATTTGTCCGGATACCGTTTACCGAAGCATGACAGAGACATCCGCCCACAAAATTGCGCGCACCGCAGCGTAATGTTAGCGGTATAATTTTGTGCAGGCAGTGCCTTGGCGAGGAGTGAGCCTCAATCGTGCACGTCACCGAGTATCCTATCGATACCTTTTGTCGGGAAAAGCGGCTCGTAGACGTAGACGAGGCCTGTTCTACGACGAAGCACTTTAACTTGGCATTTGTATTGTTCACCAATTAATGGGTCGTGCTGGATACCCCATACGGTTTCAAAAGTACTTCAAGGTCGCGCACCTATAATAAGCTTACACATCAGCAGGACGACATAGGATTTTCAGGCCAAGCCGTTGTTTTTGTTGTACAGTCATCCCCTGATTTTTGCAGCCCCTACCAAATACTCCTATAGTTTTACGAAGGTACTTACATGCAAGGGTTATATGAAGTCTTGGAGGAGTATACCTTCACACTAGATAAGGATATTAATCACAATCGATGAGCAAAAACTAATCGTAAACATCCGAATACCCTACACGTTTTGTGAAATGTGGTCGCACAATTTCTCAAAGCAAGTACACTCTCATTCTTACAGTAGAAACATCGAACAACGTCCTAGCTTGTTATCCAGTGCTCGAATTTATTCCGACAGCCATGTCATCGTGTATGTAGAGTTAACCACTTTGCAAGGATTCGCATGGCAAATGGACAACGCTCGTGATATTGTGATATGACTTGGTGCTGGCACCGCTTTGAGTTCCCAGTATTAATTTTTCAATAGCCTGTTAAATTGAATATTCGATGGGATTACACAGGATATTCGTTTATACCAGGCTGCAAAAATCGGGGGATGACTGTAGTTATTTCGGATTGTTTACAGTTAGAGCATCTCCACCGCATCCCCAAATATGTCCCAACTCGATAATGGGACATCAGATGGGACAAAATCTTCCCCACGGATGTCCCGAAAACCAAATTTGGGGTTGGGACATCCACTTTGTCCGGAAAATTGCACACTATTGGGATATCCCAACTAATTGTCCCAACAAATATACTACAATATGTATGGAAAAAGCAAGTCCATTCGTGCAGTTTCCCAATGCCGGCTTTGGACACAGGGACTGGCGGTCGGTATCGTGAACCACGTCTCGCCGTCGTCGGGCACGCGGACGACGTGGCTGAACGAGAATCACCAGCATTCATTGATACAGTGATATCTGGCCGATATCGCTGCGGCAGTGATTGCCGGTGACTCTCGTTCCGACGCTGCGGCGGACGCGGGTTTGTCCAAGAGGCGCAACCGCATAAAGCTATGCGGTCGCGCATCACGGA